TCAAAAAGTATTACATTGTATTTACATGTATAACATATTGCAAGTTATTAACTTTGCTTGTATTTGAAATTTGTTACAATATGTTTAAAACTACTTTATTGGTTCTACTGTCTCTCTTCTACATATTAAAGCCCAAATGTAACTTTGTCTGAAAACGATACTATTTCTATGAAAAACCAATAATGTAAATCAACTGAGCTACATCGAAAGGAACATTCAAAAATGTACATAATATTGATGGAACACATTATGAAAAAGGATGAGTGCACAAGTCAAAAGGCAAATTTGACTTCGGCAGAAATTATCTAAAATGTCACAAAAAACAAACAACAATATCTTACAACTGAAATATCTGAAAGACTGGAAAGCAACTCAGGGCGGTGTCCAGGTATGCCATCAGAGTAGTAGCGAGGGCACTCTCCTCGTATTCCATTTTTGAAGCCCACACAATCTTTATATTGCCGGAAGACCACATTACAACCGCAAAAGGAATCCGGTTTTCTGCCTTCAATGACTCTGAAAATTTACAGATGATCTCTCCTGTGAATGAAAAAACTATTTCATGTGGTTGAAATACAACTTTGCATGTTTTAGGTGAAAAAAGTAAAAGGTCCTTATCATCCAACCAAGCAAAGTGAGTCTTCTGAAAACTGGTCGACACAATGGCTTCAAAGCACTAGCAGGTAAATGCCATGATTATGATTATAATCATGTGTCATAGAAAGATTGACAGTATCCTTTGTACCTGCATGGTGAAGACCATTAAACAATGATTAACACTTTATATCTCTCAGTATCTTTTCCTCTCCATCTCCAATTGTATTTAAACATGCTGTCCAAATAATGATTTCTTTTTTTTAATATAATTTGGGTTTTAGTGTAATTTGCACATAAAGATCTACAAATCAAAATGTTGCTAGCCGCTAGATGGACAGTTGCCTTTGCTGCCTGGATGTTTGTAAAAACTTTATAACAAACAACTGAAATCTACACCCTGTTCTTTAAGATCCCTTGTTAAAAATATTTTGTTGTACTCAGACTTTTCCCCAATACTGAGCTCATTGCAAATTGAAGGTATTCAGATCCAGGATATTAGATGTAACAATAGGATTTTGAGTAATAAATAAATAACTTTTTCCAAATCAAATGATAAGACATTACATTTTAAAGGACTTTACAGCAGATCAGATCATTAAAATAAGAACTAATTATATAACTTTCCCTCTGCCACCAAAAGCTAAAGGGATGTAATACAAAATTATCAATGAATTTACCCAACTAAATAGTTTTTGATATCTAGGTTTAAGTTAAATTCAGAATATTGGGCATTTTGTATGAGAAACGTTGAGAGTTTAAAACATTTATTCTTCTTTTGTGAACAAATTTTTAAATTCTT